AATATTATTAAAATGTCAATACTACCCAAAACAATCTACACATTCAGTGCAATCCCAATCAAAATTGCACTGGCATTCTTCTCAGAGCTAGAAGAAACCATCCTAAAATTTGTGTGGAACCACAGAGACCCCAAATAGCCAAAGTAATGTTGAAAATGAAAATCAAAGCAGGAGACATCACAATTCCAGACTTTAGCCTCAACTACAAAGTTGTAATCATCAAGACAGTATGGTATAGGCACAAAAACACACATAGACCAATGGAATAAAATAGAGAACCAAAACTGGACCTACAAACATATGGCCAACTAATCTTTGGCAAAGCAGGAAAGGGTAGCCAATGAAAAAAGACAGTCTCTAGCAAATGGTGCTGGGAGAAGTGAACAGCAACATGCAGAAGAATTTTCATTCTTACACCATACACAAAAAAAACTCAAAATGGATTAGAGACCTAAATGTGAGACAGAAAACCATCAAAACCCTGGAGGTGAATACAGGCAACAACCTCTTTGACCTCAGACACAGCAACTTCTTACTCGACACATCTCCAAAGGTAAGGTAAATAAAAGCAAAAATTAACTAGTAGGACCTCATCAAGATAAAAAGCTTCTGTACTGCAAAGGAAATCAATAAAACCAATGGGCAACCGACAGAATGAGGGAAGATATTTTCAAATGACATATTGGATAAAGGGTTAGTATCCAAAATCTATAAAGAACTTACAAACTCAACACCCAAAAAACAAATAATTCTGTGAAGAAATGGGCAGAAGACATGAATAGACACTTTTCCGAAGAAGACATCCAGATGACCAACTAACACATGAAAAGATGCTCAACATCACTCATCATCAGGGAAATACAAATCAAAACCACATTGAGATACCACTTCACAGAAGTCAGAGTGGCTAAAATTAACAACTCAAGAAACAACAGATATTGGTGAGGATGTGGAGAAATGGGAACCCTCTTGCACTGTTGGTTGGAATGCAAGCTGGTGTAGCCACTCTGGAAAATAGCATGGAGTTTCCTCAAAAAATTAAAAATAGAATTATCCTAGGACCCAGCAATAGAACTACTCAAAATTTATCCAAATGATACAGGAGTGCTGAATCAAAGGGGCACATGTACCCTAATGTTTATAGCAGTGCTTTCAACAATAGCCAAATTATGGAAAAAGCCCAAGTTTATCCATTATCAACTGATGAATGGATAAAGAAGATGTGGTTTATATATACAATGGAATACTATTTGGCAGTAAGAAGGAATGAACTCCTGCCATTTACATCAGTGGATTGAACTGGAGGGCATTATGCTAAGTGAAAGAAGTTAGTCAGTGAAAGACAGATCTATCTTTTCACTCATATGTGGAAATTGAGAAACTTAACAGAAGACCATGGGGGAAGGGAAGGGAAAAAAATAGTTTCAAACAGAAAGGGAGGCAAACCAAAGAAACTCTTAAATATAGAGAATGAACTTAGCATTGATGGGGGGTGCAGGGGAGAGGAGAACACAGGTGATGGGCACTGAGGGGCAATGGCCACTGAGAGATGATTGGCACTGAGAGGTGAAAATGGCTGATGGGCACTTGATGGGATGAGCATTGGGTGTTATATAGAAGTGATAAATCATGGGAATCTACCCCCGGAGCCAAGAGTATACTGTATTCACTCTATGTTATCTAATTTGACAATAAATTACGTTTTTTAAAAAAAAAAAAAAAAAAGGCCCTCAAGTCCTCAGGCACACGGACTAAGAATCATCATTACCTTTGTTTCATGACAGAAACTCATTACGATTTTGTGCCCAATATCCTCTTATTTTATCATTGAGTCAGTCAATTACTTACACTTAACAATGTTATAAATTCCTTGAACTATCACCAAAACAAAACCCGAAAACAGGAGAGCATGAGCTCATGAACCAAGAGCCAACAATATGTTCCACTTCTTTCACTCTTGTTCCATACTCCTACCCTCCACAATTATGACATTTTTGGAATATTTGAGGCTCAAGAATAGTACTAGCCAAAATTTCTTAGCATATGGTTTATTTTGAACACTTGTTTTCATTTTCCCATTTCCATCCTAGGCATTTTTTTACAGAGTGTGGTCATCAAGTCAGGTTTCCTTCTAAAACCCATTGAATGTCAAATTTATCTACCTATGGTAACACATCAAACCTATCCTTAAAATCTAAAATGCTCTAGTTGGATGAAAGTTCCTTTGGGCAGATGTAAAATGTACAATCATTACCAGACTCTCTAGAGAAAGCAAAGTATCCTTCTTAGTATTACAGTAGACAGAGAGAAGCAGAAAGGTTTTTCTCAAAAACTGAATAACAGGCAACATTTTGACAACCACAAGAGAGATAATTTTGAGAATGGGCCTTTCATTAACATCTAAATAATTCTACATTAAAAAAAAGTTTCCTTCATCTGCAAATAAGGATTACTTCACCCATTACACAAGTAAAAAATCACAAACTTTCTCCCTCAAAAATTACTTTGTCTTTCTTTGAATGTTATTGTTTCTTCCTAATTCTCTCAAGGAAGAAAACTTTTTAAATGAGAGTCACAGAACTTGAAGTCAAACATTTATCTATGTCTCTGTCATATAAAGAAACAAAATAATTGGCTATTAAAATTCCTTTTTTGTCTCCACTAACCCTGTTCCAACATAGAAAGTACATTTCCTGATTAACATTTTCCTTCTACACTAGAAACTCACCCATTCCCCCAAAGTGGTTTTAGGAATTCTGCAAAATTCTACACAAAACTGCTTATGGCCCATATACATAGGGAAAGTGGGATGAAAAAAAGATTGTCCAAATGTTGGTACTTGGGGAAAAGTAACAGCTCATTATCTGCAACCCCAGCTGGGCAACAGCTAAACATTTTGCTGAGCTCTTCCTTAAAACCACCTACCCGAGGATACTGAAACTGGATATCCATCAAATATCCTGATACGTGGCTAGTATTCAGCTAAATAGATATTTAGCAGAGAAAAGGTGGATGAAGACAAGGGATCAAAAAGGGTCGGCTGACTAGTAGAAACCATGGGTGTAGTAAACCCATTCTACATTGATTCCACAACTAGGTCAAAAGATTTACATCCCCTCAGGTAGGTAAAACAATCTCTAAAAATTTTAAAATAGCATAAAATATTGATGTTTGCTGATCTTGGCTGGTCCAAGGACTATTATTTCACTGATGAATACCTAGTCCTTGCTGAAGGCCCAAACTGAGTGGCAGATAGTTACACTTTAGAGAATCCTTAATAGAGTTTGCCCAGAATTTATATGAAATGAAGGAAGCAAAGATGAATTAAGTGGAGCCAAGGTCAGAGGTTAAGTAGGTCGGTAATTTTTTCACCAAATTATAAATATTTTTTTTATTACTGAGATGTAGGGAATCTAGTGGAAGCAGTCCAGGAGTTTTGATCCCCTTTGCCAGGTCCAATATGGAAACTAAAGGGGCCAGATAAGCCTGTATTGAAAGAGCTTTTACAGAGGTGAACAGTGAGGTAATTGGAAAGTTTACGCCCAGATGGTCTTCATCTATTTGGCCGTGTATAAAAAGTCAGCAGCAATGATTTAAAGTTGGGCTAAAAATATCTTTGAAGAATCTCAAATTGTGGCCAAAGAGAGCCTAAAATCATAAGAACTAAGACTTATTGGGTGTCTACAATATCCCAAGAACTCTTTGAAGGGCTTCAGTGTGTGTCTTATTTATGTTCCACCAATTCTATGATGCACCTGCTGTGCTTCTACTTTCTTTTCTTTTTAGAAAGAGAGAGTGTGTGCAAGCTGAGGAGAGGGACAGAGGAAGAGAGAGAATCCCAAGCAGGCTCCACACTCAGTGCCGAGCCTGATATGGGGCTTAATTCCACGATCCTGGGATCATGACCTGGGCCGAAATGAAGAGTTAGATGCCCAAATGACTGAGTCACTCAGGCGTCCCATGTCTCTACTTTAAAATTCAGGAAATGGGAATGAAGAGATATTAGAATGATACATACAGTTATTAAGTGGTGGAGTTTTGGGATGCAGGCTTATTTCAAAGCCTAACCTTTATATTATATTGATCCTATTTATATTTATGTAGCATAAACTTGTAATGATACTGGTTTTGCCATGTATGAAACTTTCTTTAACACAATTTTTCAACCTGGATGGGCATAACAGGAATAAAGAACGCTGAAAAGGTATCACAGTGTTAAGATTAGCCATGAAAATCCAGTAGGTGGTTAGAGAACAGAGTCAATGATTATGAAGGTAGTAGCACTTTTGGTCCATATGATTAGAGTAATTTGCAGACCATGGAAACTTAAATAATGGCAGTTATTATTTTTTCAATGCAAAATATTTGTTTCTTCTAAACTTTCTAAGCTTTTATCAAAAAGATGCCATCTAATCTGATTTTGTTACCATTCTCACTGTCCCTGACATATTAAACTCCCATATACTCTGCACATAATAGAATATAGTCAGGATTTGTTGGAATAAACTCTTATTTATATGTATACTATTTTCTAACCCTCCTAGAACTACAGTCTTCAAGAGTAATTATAATTCATTTAAAATTTTCAATGTTGAGGAGATAATATAGTATCCAAATATAATCATTTATATTATAGATTAATTTTTCAGGCTACTTGTATAGTACTTATAAAAATGCTCATAGAGAAATAAAGTGACTGGGGTGTCTTTATTGCTTAGTCGGTTAAGTGTCCTACTTCAGCTCAGGATATGATGTCACAGTTCATGGGTTTGAGCCCCTCATCAGGCTCTGTGCTGACAACTCAGAGTCTGGAGCTTGCTTTGGATTGTGTCTCCCTCTCTCCCTCTACCCCTCGGCTGCTCCTGCTCTGTCTCTCAAAAAAGCAAATAAAATGTTACAAATTTAAAAAAAAGAAAGTGACCTTAAAAATACTAATCAGTACAATCCCTATTTACAATCTAAATTATAACCGTCTCAATATTTTTATATTGACTACATACCCCTCATTACATTTGTAAACAACCTTTGCTCCATATTCAAATTCACTTCCTCTTGCAAGATGAAAAGTACCAAAAGGAGTATCTCCAGGATGTCCACAGGGCTTTTCTAAAATGATCAAGACAATATAATATTATTATGAAACACATTTGATATAGGAGTTCAAGGAAAATGGCATTTGATATTATATCCAAAGACATAATTGAAGATGCGGAAAAGTGAAAAATAACAAAGCTATTAGTTTATTATCAAACTTATCTATATGATTTTTTTTTATTTTAGAAGAGTACAACTCCTTACTAAGAACAATGATGGTATATTATTATGTGTTTATTTATTTATTTTTATTATTTTTAATTTTTATTTATTTTTCAGAGAAAGAGAGACAGAGCGCAAGTAGGGGAGGGGCAGAGAGAGAAGGAGACACAGGATTTGAAGCAGGCTCCAGGCTCTGTCTGAGCTGTCAGCACAGAGCCGGATGTGGGCTCAAACTCATGAACCATGAGATCAAGACCTGAGCCGAAGTTGGATGCTTAACCTACTTAGCCACGCAGGCACGCCTATTATTTTGTATTTAAATGACAACTGTGATATAATTCAGTTAATATTGCTACAATATCAAACATTTAGTATTTTCACAACTAAAGGTTTCACCAATGTATGATTTACTTACTCTGACATATCCTCAACGGATTAAGAGCCACCCATTCTCCATTCTTGCATTCCATTACGATAGCTCCAAGAGTTCTATATCCAGGCCGGCATTTATATGTAGCTTGAGTTCCCTCTGGATATTTTTGTTCAGACCAGACACCTGACAAAATTTCATTTTGTTTTCCTGGAGGTGGTCCTTCACAATCTGAAAACAATAAAAACAAAGTAATTGCTTAAAGTATTTATTTAAATTTCCAATATATTTAGGTTACTTTTGCTTTAAGAAATAGCTATGCTTCGAGTAGTCAAGATGGCGGATAAGTAGAAAGATCATTATTTCCCTCGTCCCTCAAACACAGAAGTATTGAGGTCAGAACACTTGTAACACCCAGGAAATCAATCTGCAGAGGGGCAGAAGGATCTCCATAGGTGGGAAGAGACAGTTTGGCAGGACAGAGGCGGGTGTTTGCGAATGAGGAGAGAAAAAATGAGCAGTGTAGGCAAGGAAGGGAGGGGACCCCTTCTGTGGAGAGACAAAAGGAAGTGAAAAAAGGTTGTAGAAGTGTGGGATTGTATTTGGACAAGAGAAAATCCTCTCTGGACCATCGACAGGGAAACAAAAAATACAGAGAGCTCAATTCTACTTTGCAAACAAGTTTACTAGTGAAGATCAGAGTTTTTAGGGTTTCTTGACTCTCTTTGGACTGGAGTTGGCTGTGTGCAGGTGTCTGGTGGGGAGGGGGGCCAGTCCTAGGGTGCAGTAGTGTTCTCAAGGGTACATTGGGAGAGAGTTTCCCTTAAGAACTGTGGGAAGAGGGTATATTGCCCCCCAAGGACAAAGACCCTGCAGGTGCCAGCCTGAGGTCCTTTGCTGGCAGGGCAGAGTGGCATTATTCCAGAACCAGGTTCGTGCAGAAGGCAATCCTAGGAGGTGGAGGAGACTGTGGAGCAGGATGAGTCGAATGCCCGTGCTACTCTGAGAGAGCTGCCTGAACTGCATGGTTTGAGACAACCTCTGTGGGGAGGAGAGATTGGCATGTTGCCATTTTTCTCACCAATACCAACATGTTGGGGCTTCATGGAACAGGACATTGGCCCCCAGTGAAGGCAGCCCGCTTACATGAACCCCAGCCCCTCCGTGCCTGACAACTGCATATCTACTGGAGCAGGACTGACAATGAGTGAAGCAGAGGGGCCAGCCAGGCACCAATAGACAATTGTCCTGCAGGTTTGTATGTAAGGATGGAAGAATCATAAGAATGAATCAGTGATATAGAAGATAAACTTATGGAAAATAATGAAGCTTAAGATAAGAGGGAAAGAAAAATATTAGTTCACAAATGTAGACTTAGGGAACTCAGTGACTCCATAAATCAGAATATCATTCAAATCATAGGAGTCCAAGAAGAGAAGGAAAAAGGGGCAGAAGGTTCATTTGAGGAAACTGTAGCTGAAACATCCCTAAACTGGGGAAGGAAACAGACATCCAAATCCAAGAGGCACAGAGAATTCCCATCAAAATGAACACACACAGGGCAACATAACTACAAACATATTGTAGTTAAATTTGCAAAATACAGAGATAGAGAAAATATCCTAAAAGCAGCAAGACAAAGAAGTCACTAACTTAAAAAAGAAGACAAAAAAGGCTAGCAGCAGATCTCTCCAGAGACGTGGCAGAAGGGAGTGACATGATATATTCAATGTGCTGAATGGGAATAATAAGCAGCCAAGGAGACTATCCAGCAAGGCTATCATTCAGAATAGGAGAAATAAAAAGTTTCCAAGACAAACAAAAACTGAAGGAATTTGTGACCAATAAACCAGCCCTGCAATAAATATTAAAGGGGACTCTTTGAGTGGAAAACAAAGACCAAAAGCAACAAACTCTAGAAAAGAACAAAGAAAATCTCTAGAAACAATAATAAAAAATAAATACATGGCATTAATTTCATATCTTTCAATAATCACTCTGAATGTCAATGGAATAAATGCTCCAATCAAAAGGTATAGGGTATCAAAATGGATTAAAAAAGACCCATCTATATGGGAGCCTCATTTTGCAGATTAAAAGTGAGGGGATGGAGAACCATTTATCATGCTAATCGATGTCAAAAGAAGCTGGAGTAGCCATACTTATATCAGACAAACTAGATTTTAAATCAAAGACTGTAACAAGAGATGACAGGCCCTCTATCATAATAAAAGGGTCTACTCATCAAGATCTAACAACTATATATATTTATGCCCCCAACTTGAATGCACCCAAATATATAAAAGAGTAACAAACATAAAGGAACCCATTGATAGTAATACAATAAAGTAGACTTTTACACCCACTTACACCAATGGACAGATATAAAACTATCAAGGAAACAATGGCTTTGAATTACCCACTGGACCAGATAAACTTAAACAATATATTCAGAGTATTTCAACCTAAAACACCAGAATACACATTCTTTTTGGGTGCACATGGAACATTCTCCAGAGTAGATCACATAGTAGGTTACAAATCAGGTCTCCACAAGTACAAAAAGACAGATCATACCATGCATATTATCAGGCCATGACCCTATGAAACTTGAAGTCAACCACAAGAAAAATTTTGGAAAGACAACAAATACATGGAGGTTAAAGAACTTTCTACCAAAGAATGAATGGGTCAAACAGGAGATTACTCAAGTAATAAAAAAAAAAAAAAAAAATACATGGAAAGAAATAATAATGAAAACAAGATGGTCCAAAATCTTTGGAATGTACCAAAGCTGTTGTAAAGGGGAAGTATATAGCAATACAGGTTTACTTCAAGAAGCAAGAAAAATCTCAAATATACAACCTAACTTTATACCTAAAGGAGCTAGAAAAAGAACAACAAATGAAACCTAAAGCCAGCAGAAGAAGGGAAATAATAAAGATTAGAGTAGAAACAAATTTAAAAAAATCAGATCAGATTAATGCAACCAGGAGCTGGTTCTTGGAATTAATACAATTGATAAACCCCTAGCCAGACTTACCAAAAAAAAAAAGAGAAAGGATCCAAATAAATAAAATCACAAAATGGAGAAGAGAGATCACAATCAACACCACAGAACTGCAAACAAGTATAAGAAAATATTATGAAAAATTATATGCCAACAAATTGGGCAATCTGGAAGAAATGGATAAATTTCTAGAAACATATAAACTACCAAAAGTGAAACAGGAAGAAATAGAAAGCTTGAACAGACCAACAATGAGCAAATAAATGGAATCAGTAATAAGAAATCTCCCAACAAACAAAAGTTCAGGACCAGATGGCTTCCCAAGGGAATTCTTACCCAACATGTAAAGAACAGTTAACACCTATTCTTCCCAAATCATTTCAAAAAATAGAAATGGAAAGAAAACTTCCAAACTCATTCTACAAGGTCAGCATTACCTAGATTACAAAACCAGCAAAGATCTCACTAAAAAGGAGAATACAGGCCAATATCCTTGATGAACACGGATGTAAAAATTCTCGACAAATACTAGCAAGCCAAATCTAACAGTTCATTAAAAGAATCATTCACCACAGTCAAGTGGGATTTATTCCTGGGCTGCAAAGATGGTTCAATATCCTCAAATCAATCACCAAGATACACCATATTAATAAAAGAAAGAATAAGAATCTTATGATCCTCTCAATAAATACAGAAAAAGCATTTGATAGTATCAACATGACAGTATCAATTCTTGATTTAAAAAAAGAACCCTTTGGGTCCCAGGGTGGCTCAGTTTGTAAGTGTCCAACTCTTGATTTTAGCTCAGGTCATGATCTCTGGGTTGGGAGATCAAGTCCCATGTCAGGCTCCTCACTGGACATGGAGTCTGCTCAAGATTCTCTCTCTCTTCAGGGGCGCCTGGGTGGCTTAGTTGGTTAAGCGTCCAACTTTCGATTAGGTCATGATATCGCGGTTCGTGGGTTCGAGCCCCACGTCGGGCTCTGTGCTGACAGCTAGCTCAGAGCCTGGAGCCTATTTCAGAGTCTGTGTCTCCCTCTCTCTCTAACCCTCCCCTGTTCACGCTGTCTCTCTCTCTCTCTCTCCTAGAAATAAATTAAAGAAAAAAAAAGTTAAAAAAAAAAAGATTCTCTCTCTCTTCTCTTTGTCCCTCCTCTGACTCCCACACACATGTGCTTTATCTATTTCTAAACAAACAAACAAACAAACAAACACTCAAAAGATCAGAGGTAGAGGTAACCTACCTCATTATCATAAAGGCCATATAAGAAAGACCCACAGCTAATATAATTCTCAATGAGGAAAAACTGAGAACTTTTCTTCTATGGTCAGGAACAAGATAAAAATGACTGCTCTCACTATTGTTACTTAACATAGTACTGGATGTCTAGTTTCAACAGTCAGTAAAAAAAAAAAAAAAAAGAAAAGAAAAGAAAAAGAAAGAAATAAAAGGCATCCAAGTCAACAAGGAAGAAGTCAAACTTTCATTATTCAGACAACATGATACTACATATAGAAAACCCAGGGGCACCTGGGTGGCTTAGTAGGTTAAGCGTCCGACTTTCGCTTAGGTCATGATCTCGCGGTTCGTGGGTTCGGGCCCCGCGTCGGGCTCTGTGCTGACTGCCAGCTCAGAGCCTGGAGCCTGTTTCAGTCTGTGACTCCCTCTCTCTCTGACCCTCCCCTGCTCACACTGTCTCTCTCTCTCTTAGAAATAAATAAAACATTAAAAAAAAAAAAAAAAAAAGAAAACCCAAAAATCTCCACTAAAAATTTCTGGAACTGATACACAATTCAGTAAGGTTTCAGGATACAAAATCCATGTAGAGAAACCTGTTGGATTTTTATACACCAATAGTGAGGCAGCAGAAAGAAAAGTAAAATAATTCATTCCATTTATATTTGTACCAAAAACAATAGAATATTTAGGAAAAGACCTAACCAAAGAGGTAAAAGATCCGTACTCTGAAAACTACAGAACACTGATGAAAGAAATTGAAGGCGACACAAAGAAATGGAAAAATATTCCATTCTCATGGACAGGAAGAACAAATATCATTAAAATATCTATATCACCCAAATCAATCTACATATGTACTGCAATCCCTATCAAAACACCACCAGCATTTTTCACCAAACTAGAACAATCCTAAAATTTGTATGGAACTGCAAAAGATTTCAAATAGTCAAAGTAATCTTTAAAGACAACAGCAAAGCTGGA